AAGTCAGTGAATGAGTGAGTGAGAGTGAGTGAGTGAGTGCATAGAATCTTTCAAGATGGCAACTTGAGGCTTGAATATTTTCTTTTTTGACAGTGTTTGTATCAATTGTTTATATGTTAGCACTCAATGTTATTCTCAATCTAGGAATATATATTCCTTTTTCCAATTTGGTAATTTAAAAAATTATTAGTTGGGATTTAATACATATATCATTCCAGATTTCAATTTGAATATTTTCTTTACTTTCAGTTTAAAATGTGCAGCGTGTGCTCTTCCTTTCTGGTTTTCTAACTAGGTCTGTGGATATTTCATTTTAACATTTTATCTTCTCTAACTGCTGTCTGAAATTTTCCATTCCACTCTTTGATGTCATCATTTCTTTAGCTACTCTACTATTAAGAGCAGGTTTCAGAGTCTCTTCTAAAATCCACTTTGGTTTTTTTCTTTTCTGTTTTTTTAATAGCTTTTTGCTTTCTACATTATTACTGTAATGTTCTTGATTCCCTTCCACAGCTCAAGTCTTATATCATTAGTGTCCAGTGAGTTAAACCTGTCCTGGAGATGTTCTTGGCGTTCAGGTGGGGTAGACGCAGGGTTGTGTTTCCACTCTCATGGACTTGTTTTATTTTTTTCAGCTTAACCTGAATTTAGATAAGAGTAATTGATGGTCTCTTCCACAGTCAGCCCTGGTCTGGTTTTAGCTGCTGACATTGAGCTTCTCCATCTTTTCTTCCCCCAGATATAGTCAGTTTGATTTCTGTGTATGCCATTTGAGAAGCCCACCCATAGAGTTGCCTTTTGTGTTGTTGAAAAAAGGTATGTGCAATGAAGTTGGTCATGCGGAATTCTGTCATGCCATCTCCAGCTTTGTTTCTGTCACCAAAGCTATATTTTCCAACTGCTGCTCATTCATCTCTGTCTGCAACTTTTGCATTTGGATTGCCAATAATTATCAATGCATCTTGATTGCATGTTTGGTCATTTTCAGATTGAAGGTGTTGATAGAATTTTCAACATCTCCATCATTAACTTTTGTGGTTGGTTGGTGTTTACATTTGAATAATAGTTGTATTGATTGGATTTCCTTGAAGGTGGATAGAGAGAATCCTAGCCCAGACATGACAGCAGTGAATTTATATCTCTGTGTACAGACTTTGTCTGTGTATTTCAAGATACCCAAACCCAAACTCATGATGTGATTGAGTCCATGCAAACTCATGGTGACCTCTTGCATTTCCAGGACTAACTGTTTCCGGGTGTAGATACTCCCATCTTCCATGGAGTGGCTGGTGGTTTCGATCTGCTGGTCCTGCAGATCACAGCCCAGCATAATACCAGTATGCTACCAGGACATGAAATGTCAGTTTTGATGATGATTTCAGTGTGATTTTTCTTGTTTCATTCTCAGCATTATAAATCATATGATTTCCTGACTCAAAATTGACAGTGTCAGTCCATTTAAGCTCACTAATGCCTAGAACGTTGATTTTTATAAGGTTCATTTAATTTTTTTACACGGTCCAATTATCCTGGATTCCTACTTCCAAGTGCCAGTTACTAAGTGATGTTTGCCTCCAGCCATTTCTCATTTTGAGTCGTGCCCCATCGACAGATGAGGAGGGTCTCGAAAGCTTTCTGCGTCTGTGTCATAGCGGCCGGCTCTGCTTTGATTGAGAAGGCTGTGCTTCCTCCGTCATATTTTGAGCCCCTTCTAACCTGGGTGCCGTCTGTGGCACTGTCTGCTGCTTCTCAGGAGGCCTTCGGTATCTGACCGTCTTTCAGGTCTGCCTTCAAGGTCTCCTCTGGCCAATTCTTCAGAGGTGGACAGCCTATTTCTTCTTTTAGTTAGTCTGGCAGTCCTGCGGAAACCTGTTCAGGTTAGGTGACTCGGCAAGCATTTGAAACACCACTGACAAAGATTTCAGCGTCACAGTAGCACCAACCCCCGCGGGCTGAGGCTCATCTGTCTGCTGATCACGCATTTTCCCAGGTGATTCTCTTGTGCTCTCCTGGTCAGAAACAGCTATAGAAATATTTTTGGATTGGGAGATTTGCAAAGGTCTCATCTATTATGTGGACTCAGGAATTTGTACAGTTTCTTATGGGGACCACAGAAAGGTGTTAATGTAAAATAATGAATTTGACCCCATAATGTTGGGTATAATTTTAGCTCTGTCACTAATTTATTAGGATTGTGACTTTGGTCAAGTCATTTAACCTCTTTAAGGTGACCAGACATTCCGCTTTTGGTAGGACAGTCCTGATTTTTAACAATTTTTCCCGCGTACCGCGGTGTTTTAAAAAAGTCCTGATTTTTGAAAAGCATGCACGACAAGCTAGGGTAGGCGGTTTTCGGCTGCCATGTGGCTATTTCGCCAGGATATGAGTTTTATCAATGGTGTCCCGCTTTACCAATGTTAAAATCTGGTCACCTTACTCTT